CTCCAATACCCCGCCACCTGCAAACTCCCAGGCCACTCACTAGCTACCACTCACAAGAGTCTACTATCTCAGCAAGAAACCATTGCCTAAAACATACATAGGGAAACTTCTCCCCAACCACTGATGGATTCAAGTCCAAAATCAAAGAGCATTTTTCATCAGAGGGATGAGAATTACTTGACACCGTTAAACATGATCAATGAACTTTTAAAAGAAAACCTGAACTTGATTTCTTGAACTTTGTCTTATAAAATGTTTTTGATCTCAAAGTACCCAAAGAAACACTTTTGCAAAGTACTTTGCAAAATGACTTTTTGGATTCTCCAAAGGTTTATTTTTTTATACTGAAGATTTAACCCAGGGGTGCCATACCACTGAATTACATCCCAAGCCCTTTTAATTTTGAGACAGGATCTTGCTAAGTTGCTGAGGCTAGCCTTGCACTTGCAATCCTCCTGCCTCAGCCTCCAGAGTCACTGGGATTACAGGTATGTCACCACACCTAAGACTTTTCAAGTGACATTGTTTACTTCAGAGTTTGATATTCATTTTTATCGAGTGGTTATATACAATTAGTAATATACATTGAATTATAATAGTATACAAAAAGAACTTTGCCAATTATATTAAAAATTTTTACGTAATTCCTAATAACAAACTTCTACTTTTCTGAAACAAGGAACTAAGAAAACTTACTGCTCCAGAACATGAAAACAGATTTCCATTACTTAATTTGCAATTTCAACTTTTTTTAAAGAACTTACTATTGTCAGTAACTTTTCTTCCCCCAAATATAATGACCCTGTATTCAAGTTTCTTAAGTATTATTACATGTCATTTCTTTGTAACTATAAACAGTATCAAGAATGTTAACTTTGAAGTCAGTTTTAAAAACCTGGTCACTTGGTTTAAACCATCATCAAATTCTGAAGGAAAACATGTTCATGTTGGCTTTTCGTTCAAGGTTGAAATGATGAGCAGTGTTTTATCCCCGCTCACTACTTCTGGGGATAAACAGGAAAAAAGGAAGTCTGACAACTTAAAACCTGTAATGTCTTGAAGACATCACTGAGAAATACCTATGTCTTTAATGGAAAACAAAGGCATCACAAAATTATCACACTTATTTCCTCTTTAGAGACACCTGCCTTGACCAGCACACAGGAGATTCCTTCAGGTGGCTGAGGACCGCAGCCCTGCACCAGACTACCTAAGCCCTACCCTTCCCTTTACTTAAATCCCTGCCATCCAGGAGGTAACCTCCTGAGGTCTGTGAAGACCAAGCAAACTGACACACAGCAACAAGCACCTTGAAAACCATCACTAAATATTGAGAAATACAGAAGCAAAATCCATCTCCTAGGTGGACACTTAAATCACACGTTCATGAAATTCCTCAAAGTGCTTTATAATTTCACACAACTTGCACTTAGAAATTAAAAACTTCTCAAAATTGCCCTGCTTTGGCATTCACAGCTCCCACTTATTTACAAAGTAAAAGCCTTTTTCCTGTGTCCTAGCAACCTGAGTTCACAGAGGCGGCTCTCTAAGCCATGCTTAGAGGGGACTCCTCCAATTTTTTTTTTTTTTTTTTTTAGTTGTAGATGGACACAACTCCTTTGTTTTTATTTTTATGTGGTGCCAGGGATCGAATCCAGTGCCTGCTCACACATGCTAGGCAAGCACTCTACCCCTAAACCACAACCCCGGCCTCTCCAATTTCTTGTTTAAAAGAAAAATTTCTGAAAAAGTTTCACCATATTATAGGAAATAAAAGTCCTAGGTGGGTGTTCCACATAGTAACAACTGGAAAACAAGAACTTGGTTCTAAAATGAAAGTCTGATGATAGGGCTGTATGTATAACCAGGAGGAGGCGGGCCAACCCAGTGAGCCCTTGTAAAATATCCCTAACCTTAAGAAAGAAAGTGACTAAAAATAAAGCAAAATACTTTTGTCATCACTTACACTTGGTTTTCAATAAACTGGACAAACGATCAAGATGAAAAAATAGGATAAAGTAGTATATAATGTGTGATGTGCTTAGAGTTTAATATTACAGGGAAATAGAATGTCCATAGCAACTGGAGGGCAGAATTTGGCCTTTTCTACATTTACTTTCCAAATTGCTTAAAACGCACGTTATTCTGCAATCCAACATGCAGGAAGAAGAAAGTAAAATGCCTTTTCCCCAGGGATGTATATTCAAATGTCTTTGCACCATCCCTAGCAGGCTGGACATTCCCAAGGTGTCACTCACTGTCCCGCAGAGAACTCCCCTGGAGCTCAACTTCCCCCACAGCAGGCTGCCAAATACAGAACTGAAAACTCAGCTGCTCTCATTTCCTACCAAGAAGTACCCTGAGGTCAGGAGCACACCTGCCATCAGACCCCAGTCCCAGCAGACACCCAGCTGTGAGCTAATACACAAACCATCGTGCTATGTGGAAGCAAAATTTGTGTGTTGTGAAAAAGAAAATTACACATCCCATTTTTCAAGTCTATTTATTCACAATAAATAATGGTTTACCTTCCCTTGAAAGCTAGAAAATAAAGATTGCCTATGGACCTGTATTTGTTTGTTTTCCTACAGTAAGCACTCATAAAGGTCAAATTTTTAAAATCTATGAACACACCAAAATCACTGGACAGAAATGTGCAAAGCTCTGGGAAAGCAATTGATTGAGTCTGTCTACAGTGGCTGACCAAAATTAGGGGACATACTCCATACAATGTGGGGGTTTTTGTAACCTTATTGTTAGACATAATGGTGTACTTCCAAAGGTCACAGCCCCCCAGCATGTAACAACTTCAGGAGGACGTCTCAAGGAAATTAAAAATATTATTTTGACCAGAATTCCTAAATTTGACCCTTTTTTCTCAAAGTGTATTTTCTATGTTTACAGGTAACATACCACACACTCAGAACGCAATTCTTAAATTTGCTTCTTATAAATACAAGAATGGGCAAAAGTAGGGCACGTGAGAGAAAGGAGGAAGGAAAGCAGTGCTCCCAGTGCCCCCAAACCCAAGGCCTGGCTGCTGAGTACCCGCTCCACACAGACCAGGCAGCAGGTTCTCAAGAAAAAAACTCCTGACAGTGGAGCCCACGTAACCTGCAGACCATCCATGGATACATACAGCAGGACCCTGTGGAAGGGTGGCTGTAGGTAGCCCATCTGAGCACACTTCACAGAGCAAATGACAAGCACAGAAAGGAACTCTGTACTCAGCACACGCGACTGGGGAGGCCCTGGAGGCCACATGGACTTGTGAGGTGCTGTCCAGACTACAATCTACCTGGACCAGCCCGTGAGGCACTCTGTAGATGCCTTCCTGAGAACACAGCCATCAGTGCAGGTGTGGCCAGCCGGGAGGTGGCCGGCCTGAGCACCAGCGCCACTCCACAGGACGGGAAGTCTCACAGGCACCTTGAAGGGCACTTCTGCTCACCAGGACAGTCATCTTCGTCAAATAAGTTTTTCCCCTACAAGTTTCCAGTTACAGCTCTGCCTCTACCTGGGAGGCAAGGAAAACTCTAAGCTCTGGGAAAGCCTCAGATTCCTCAGCTATAAACAAAGGGGATGAGCACAATGACTTCTAAGGAGCAGTCCAATAAGACAGGATTTTGCTTAATTTCTGAAAACCTAAAACCTTCTTAAAGGTATCTGTGAATCATCAAGCTTGATACTCTCATCAGTGACGCTGACTACATGGAGAGTTTTAAGACAAGGGATTGCTGATGTGCATTTACAGGATTAAAATGTCAGACTTTTTTTTTTTTTTTTTTTTTAGTACCAGAAATTGAGCTCTGGGGCACTTGACCCCCAAGCCACATCCTCAGCACTAGTTCTTTGTATTTCATTTAGAGACAGGGTCTCACTGAGTTGCTTAGCACCTCCCCATTGCTGATGCTGGCTCTGAACTCCCAGTACTCCTGCCCCAGCCTCCAGAGCACTGCACCTGCCAGACTCCCTTTTCCTTTAGCAGCACTTTCCCGGGTCTTTACCTGGCAACAAAGCCGACAGCAGTGGAGACATGACCCACAGCAGGCAAGCAATGTCTCCGCACCACTGTTTTTAGGTTTTGGATACAAGCAAGAGGTTTTTATTCAAAATAACAATGCATGGGATCTGACAAATCCAAAACAATTTTGAAATAAAAAGTAACACAATACCTGAGAACACACTTCACTGTTTTTACAAAATGTATGTGTGACCTGAGCTGCCATGCTTCACCGCACCACATGTAGCCCCCAAACCCCATTCCCTCACGTAGAGTGTGCGTCTTTTACAAAACCAACACCTATGTTCAAGAATAAAAATTCACTTATACTACACTATACTCAGTTGAAAACTGACCATCTTTTCTCTGGTTCCAAAAATTTTTATTTTGGAATAGTACAAATAAAATAAAGGAAGACATAATTGCAGAAAGTGGCAGACCCCATAATGAACACCCATACTGAGAATGTAGTTCACATGTTTAACAGATCTTGCGAAGGAGACTAATTTTTTCCCCCAGAAAATTCCAGGTTTACTCAGTAACACTAAATTTCCACAATGGAAATTTGAGTGTCAAATTGGGCAGGAAGAAGTCATTTAACTTTTAGCTATGAGGTATGTTAAAAAGTAATAAGAATGATTAAGCTGTTGAAAACACTTCAAGCTGAGTAGGTCCTTCCTGAGAAGGCACTAAAGAACCTACTAAGGGGTAAAGGAAACAAATGCAAGCCACGTGGCACACACACACTAAAATCATTTCACTTTTATTCTCGTGGCATTTGGTTACTTTATACTTCTTAAAAAGACCATTATCTTCCAAAATATAAAAAAAAGCTGAAATTTTATCCATTCCTTTCCTTAATAAAACACAGACTATAAATTACAATCAGGTAGCATCTGGACGGGTTTCAACGCAAGAGAATGGAGCGCCATGAATTTCCAATCACCACACAGTGGACACTGGTCCCCCTCCAATGACACCACGGACACAAGCAGGCTATCGAGCAAGAATCTGTTAACAGTTTTATTTTTTTTATGTTAAATACCATGGGACAGGATTGTAAGGATGAAAAACTCAGTCAACAACTGCCTCACGAGGGATAAGAAAAGTTCTGCCATGATATTAGCAAAGGTAGAGGGAGATTTACACTAAGAGGCACCACTTCCCACAGAACACCTCTTGGCGCTTCCTGAATGAGTGGGATTAGCAATCTAAACAAATCATGTTTCAAGAGGCAACAGCAACAGATAAAATTTAAAGGGATTATTAAAATAACATTTACAAGACTCGGAACAATTCTTGAACTCTTATTAAAACCACAAAGAAAGAACAATTCTTTATTTATGAATTTCATAAAGGACTGAATGTGCAACTGACATCTGCTAGTGATGATCTGGTAATGTACAATTTGTCCAGTAGCCGAACAGTTTGTTTTTATTGTGTTTTCTAACCGTAAGAGATCATTAAAGGCAAAGCCTATATGACGCTGTACACACAAAAAAATGGTCACCGCGGGCCATACTACCAATGAAATGGTAGGTAAACAAATCTTTTTCTGGTCAAGAGAAAAAAAAAAGAAATAGCACTCTGCATGCTTCGCTCTACAAGATGAATTTCCCTAGAAAGAATCCAATGAAAATGGCTGCAATTACAACAAGAAGTGAAGGAAGAGGACTGGTGACGTTATCTCTGAAGGACGCAGTTGAGGTGGATCCAGGTTTATCCGAATGTGCTACCTTTCTGAGCCTCAAGCCTTCATCCTGCGGAGGAAAAAATCCAGAAAAAGATTTTAAAAACAAACATACACAACTGGAAGGGGGGGTGGTTAAGTCTATAGAGATGGAAAGATCAGGGCTTGCCTAGGGGCAGAGTGAGCAAGGATAACTGCCAATGCGTTAGGAAACTTTTTGGAGTCTTGGAAAGACTTGAAAAATTGAATTATAGTGATGGCTACACAATTCTCTAAATCTCCCAAATATCACTAACCATACACTCCCAAGGAGTGTCTTCACAGGATATAAATTATACCTCAATGACACAGGCATAGTGGCCCAGGCCTGAAATCCCAGCAACATAGGAGGCTGAGGCAGGAGGATCACAAGTTGAAGGCCGGCCTCAGCAACTTGGCAAGTCCCTGTCTCAAAAGATAAAAAAGACTAGGGGTGCAGCTCAGTGGTACAGTGTCTCTGTGTTCAATCCCAGTACCACAATCAATCAACAAATAAAACTGAAACTGAAAAAATTTGTTTCCTTCGCAAGATCTGTTAACCATAATTATGTACATACATTTATTTCTATGATGGCCCAAGGTATTTAAAAAAGGTTACACCTGTCTTGACCCAATCACAGTCATTACTAGATTTTCTGACAAGTCTATTGGTTCACTTTGGCTCAGGAACCCACATGGCAGAGGAACAGGGGGAAGAGATGGGACACTACAGGATTTGGGGGCCAGGGAGATTTCAGTATGAAATTTAACTCAAAGCAGGAATGCTGGTGTGCAGAGGGCGAGCTCTGGGTATGGACTATACAGCAAGAACAGTCACATTTCCTTAAAAGCGGCATATAGAAGCTCTGCACCTGGACTGGAGACTGATGTCTTGCCTTTAGTGTCAAAGTGACTTGGATCCAGGCAGCAATAGGCCACTTCCCTCCAATGAAATGGCTTCTCACAGCAAGTGCAGGACAGTCTGTGTACCACGGAGCAGGGTTTCTCATGACAAGGCGGCACAGGCCCAAAGCATGAGGCAGCGAAGATGCCCCATGCTATGCAGGGCACACACTAGGAAACACTGACACCCCCCACCAGCCTAGTCTCAAACGCAAGCTCCTCTTTCTTGTCTCACACAATTGCTCTACTCTGCTTATAAACACATGATCCTCAACTTTATGATGGTTCAACTTACAATTTTTGACTGTAGGGTAGTATGACAATGACATACATTCAGTAAAAAGTGCTCTGAACTTTGACCTCTTTCCAGTATAAACAAAAAGGGCACAGTCCTCTCTTGCCATGCCTGAAGCCACATGATCACAAGGGGAGCCACCAACACCCTACGGTGTGCTTTGTTCCTAAGCTGGGATGCTTGATGAGTGCATCAAATCAATGTCTGACTTTTTGATATTTTCAGGTTATGAAGGGCTTCTCAGTATGCAATTCCACCAAAAGCCAAGGAGCAACCATCCGTAAGCACTAACTGGACTAATATACCTAAGAGACATTACTAGATTTTCTGGAATTGGACTTTTTTTGATCTTACACAAAGTAAAAAGAAGTTCCAAGTAAAAAGAGCAATAAGCTCCAGCTACACAGCACCAACATCTGAAGACTTTTAACTATTTCCCAGGATTCTGACTCCCTAGGTCTAGGAGTATATAGTTTTGTTTTTTAAAAGCCTAGTGGGTGACTGAGATGCAATCTGGACTGAATTATCACAGGACTAGGAGTCACAGAGAGTAATGACCAGACACAAGCAAGAACAAATCTGACAACACAGTATGATGGGCCTTGTGTGGGATACTGGGGGCCTAGGGTTCATTCTATAAGCCAGTGATCTTTCTGGGTGTCTCATTTTTCTTTTTTTAAACAGTAGAATCCTTTTCAAATAAAATCGCATTTAGAATATCAGCATGTAAGAGCAGAGGCCAGGAACCAAGCCTTGCCTGCTGCTGTCCCTGGTTCCCCTACCTATTCCCTGTCCCTCCCCACCCATGCCATCCCTTCAGTTGCAGTGACCTTGAGAGTAAGTCTGCAGAGCATCCTAAGGAGCACACCTTTCACCAAAGAACAGAAGTCACCGCAGGAAAAGCAAAAAAGCACATCATCCTAAAGCCCCTTGGTGTGTGGATGTGAGAGACACTCTTTCCACTTTCTGGAATTGGGGACCTTGAGGAGGCGCTATGGAATGTGAAGAAATAAGTCCCAAACATCCATTCAAAGAATTCTTCAGTGGAGTTCAGAGATCAACTTAAGATACTGTGCCTCAATTCAGAGTGTACTTCCTGAGTACATTTAACAGAAGGAATATCAAAGCAGACTAAATATCAGAATTTAGATGATTTCCTTATATACACTTTTATATCATGTTGTGATGTGATCAGGCTAAAAGAAAATTTAAAAGTACTCAGGTCTTAAAGCAAGTAATCACTTGCCAAAAGCAAATCATTCACCAACTGCGCACATGGTCAACTCCAGCCTCCCTTGCCAGTCATCTAGTTCACCACTTAAACACATAACAACGACTCTGTGCACGTGCCCAAGAAGCACTGCCAGCTGGGCACAGAGGCAGCGACAGGCCTCAACCATGCTCCTGCTGAAGGGAGAGAAGACTACCCTGAAGACGACAGTACTGCGTCCCAGGTGAAGTTGTGCACGGTGTGTATTGTGAGGAAAGGGACAGGATTCACCTGCAGTCAGAAGAGCCTATGCTAGAGCAAAAGAGGGATAACAGGAGGCATTTCCTCAGAACAGCCTAGCCCAAGTGTGTCAACACAGACCACTGTGCGCTGCAGACGTGAACCATGTGCCACTATACATTTCCACTGTACATTAAAAATAGAGAGCTTGGTAAGTTTTAGTAATATATTTTATTCAACCCAGTAAATCCAAAATATTTTTATCTCAGTAAATAACAAAACAATAAAGAGATTCTACTTTTTTGGTACTGAGTCTTCAACACTACCTTGTGTTTTATGCCCACAGACACCTAGTCTGAACTTATGTTTGACAGCTCCACGCAACTAGTGACTGCTGAGGACAGCAAGCAACACGTCTCAGGCAGTTCAGGGTGACAATACAGAGATACAAGGTCAGCAGAAACCAGAGGAAGTGAGTAGACCCCGGCAGATCACAAATGACTAACTAGGAGGTCTGCCTGCTAAAGCCAGGAGGGTCAGGGTGAGCCGGGAAAGAGACAGGCTGACAAGGATGGGGACAAGGCAGAACACAGTCTAACTGGGAGGAAGAAGGAAGTGGTGATTCTGGACACACTAAGATGGCCTGTAAAATGGTTGGGGGGTGCACCTCCGACTCCTTCAACCAAAACACTTACCCTCAGATGTCGATTTTCTTCTGACAGCTTCATCATCTCTCCCTGAAGTCTTTTACACTCTTCCATGAGCTTCCTTGTTTCGGTATCATTGAGTGAAACACTGTGCGGTTTTGGCATGGGTCCATCTTGCTTAGATGCGTTCAGTGGAACAGCTTTGCTAGGTTCCATATCATTCTGTACAAAGATATGGAGAATTTTTAAACTCAACAACCATTTAAAATTCTACATCTTTCCTTTCCCCAAAATTCTTGAAAACTTTTGACAATTCTTAATTTCATTAATAAGATTTTCTATACCAAATAGTATGGTTATATGCAAATGATTTTAAAAGTCCTAAACCAGTTAAGTACCAGCAATAGAGAAGCTAAATAGGCAGCACTCCCATCCTCTACTCCCACGGCCCCTGGCACTTACCTTACCACAGCACTCATCCTACATCACAATCATGTATCTGTGAAGTTCTTTCCTACAACACTTCAAAGGTTGGGACAGCAAGAACCATTTACCTTTGCATTTAATCTCTAACCCCAACACTTTGGTTATTCAATGAAAATATGCCGGATGATGCCAACACTCAAAATATGAAGGTCATTTTCAGTGCTCAGATTCTGCACAAAGAGGTGTTGGGGACTTGGGGGGATATTATCCTAATCATTACAATGAAATCAGAAACTACCTAAGCAAAAAAGACTCAAAAGAAAGCGCTTCTGTTAATGGGAAACAGTAAATGAAGAATTTAAATATTGAAATGGAGGTGATAAACACAAACATATTCTTGCAGAGAAAGAGGGAAGGAGTTTAAGAAGTCTATGATCTAAACATAAACCTTAAACCCTTAGTAATACTGTCAGCTTTAATATGTGGGGCTCACTGTGGAATAAGAGTAAGTAGCACCTGAGGTCCTTTCCACACTAAGGCCAAGTCTTCCTCCCTCCTGACACTACTAACCACATCAAGCTGGTGAGAAGGGCTAGAGATACACGCACAGTGCCTGCACATCCCCTCAAAACCCTTTGACCAACACCCTTTTCACCACCACACACGGCATCAGCAGCAGTGGGGCAAGCCCTCCTTCTCATTTTAACTAAATGTTTTATGGTTAAGTCTCACAGGCCTGGGGTGTAGCTCAGTATAGAGCTTTTGTCTAGCATGTACAGGTACTGGGTTCCATTTCCAGTAAACCCCCCCTCCCAAAAAAAATTTAAGATAAAATATCTAGATACTCAGCTGTAAACTGCTAACAAAGACATCTGCAAAATCATTGCTGTGGCCCTTCCACAGAACTCATAGAAGCTGCAGGAAAACACCATCCCTCCTGTCAAAGGCGAGCAGAGGGTAAAGAGACAATTTGCGCAAGAGGCAGAAGGGTGTGTCTCAGGGAGGAAACTGGCTTCCGAGGGTCGACCCTCATAGGAATACTCCTCTCCATACCTGTCCGCTCTTCTTCAGGCTTCATGGCTGAGAGGGGCTCAGAGCCTACTCAATGTCCTCTGAGCTTTTCTGTTCTAGCCTTCTCGTTCTTCACCTTCATCTCCCCACTGAGCAACCAATCCCACCTCTACTATTAAAAGTCCATTTCAGGTAGACTTTGCTCTCTGCCAGTATTCTTTCCTGTTCTTTTCCCTAATTAAAATTAACTTTTAAATGACTGTCCAAGTGTGCTCAAAGGGCATCCTAGCACAAAGCCAACTTCTGCTACCTACATGTAGGAGGCAATGTTCAATAATACGGCAACAAACAATCTTCAGGTTCTAGTGAAGAACTGAAGAAAAAATCATGTTCGTATCAGAAAGCTGACCAAAACATCAGGAAGACACACATGTGGCCAACAGTGAGAGGAATTAAAGAATCATTGAGCTCTTTACCACTGGATTTTTATTTTTAAATGAAAATTCTCAAAAGTTTAAAAATCACTAACCCAACATAGGCTCATGTTTTCTTCCTGTTTCTCATACTCATTTTATAAAATCTCCAGGCATATCATTCTGCTTTATTGATTTGCTTGCACATCTTTTCACTTTCATTTAAAATATAACATACCATTAAGAATTCTGTTCTGTGCCTTATCAAACATTTCACTTTGGTTAGGAGTTTGAGGAGAGGCTTCCCATTCTGTGGGATTTTAAATAACTCATCAATGAATTATCCTCTTATAGTGATGGAATCAGATGTTGATTTCTATATTGAAAGTTTTCTAAATGTTGTTATATTGCTTTTATAACAATATATTTCATACCCAACTTATGGAGAATAACCATTAAGACTAGAATGCAAAGGATACATAATAAAGCTTAAATATACTTTGAGCCAAATCTATAAGACAAGCTACACAGAATAGTTACATAACATACTATTAAGCCCCTACAAACCAGTCAATATATATAGCAGATGCAAAGAAATCTAATTTATTTAAGTATATTTAATGTAGATAGATAACCTAACTTGGCTGGGGGTAATGGGGGAGGGCTGTCATTCACGTAGTGACAATCTGAAGAGCCTGATGGGAAGCACTAGGCAGGTGTGACTTTAAGTGAATGCCTCCATTCAGGAGCTCCGTTAGTGAGGGCGGCTGCAGGAAACAGCTTGTCCCTTGAGAGGTGCTTCAGACTGGTCTAGAAAGAGGAGACTGGTTGTTCTGAGAACCATGAAACAAGCAAACTAGAAGGATTCAACATGCTGTGACTCTTGATAAACTGAAGAACGGCAGTAACGTTACATTAACATTTAATACTGCGGCTGAGAATAGACTGAAAGGTCAAGAAGTGGATTACCTAAGACAGGACAACATGTACTACATTGCATTCTTCCACAGCTTTATATTAATTAGCCTGTCTGTGGAAGTCCCTCCATCTATACTCTGCACTCCTTCTCAAAAGGGATCAGAATTTGAATTCCAATATTACAAACAATTCCACTGAAGGCAATTAGATAGAGGGAGCCCCAGCCTGGAAACAGAAGGGGAAAGGTCAAGTGTAAAGCAAAGGAGTGACTGCAAGCCCTGGGAAGAACAAAGGAACTGAATGTCACCAACACAAGGCTGCATTCTCAGAGTAAGGGACAGCAGCACAGAGGGAGTGGGGCTGACAGGGGTCCTATGATATGAACATCGGGATTAGAACCTTAACCATGAATTGAATAACAAAGTTGCCTGAAATCATTTTTCTAACAACCAATCTGCTATTTCTCTAGGACCATTATTCCCAGAATCAGTTTAACTACAAATCACAAAAAAGTATGAGACATTTAGATAAAGGATAATAATTTTCAAAGCCTTATTAGCATGTAAATCCATTGTAAGCCAAATCGAAGTATAAACAATCTGTTAAAACTGCATGCTTTATGCCACACACAGTGTGGCACAGGCCTGTGATCTCAACGATTTAGAAGGCAGGAGGATCATAAGTTCATGGTCAGCCTGGGCAACATAGTGAGACCCCGCTTCAAAATTATTTAAAGGTGGGGGGAGGGGTATGGACTGTGGAGGTAGCTCAATGGCAGAGCACCCTTTTAAGTCCCCAGTACAGCAAAAGGGGAGGGGGTGTTAAAAAACTCTCAAGTTTCCTGTAAGCAAAAATGATAAAAGGAATCATATTACACCCATTCCTCCACCAAAGTCAGCATTAATCTTAGTCATAGAGTGGCATTTTATCCAAGTGTATATTAAGTACACACACGCACACACACGCCACATACACAAACGTTAATATTAAAATTATAACTAAGGACTTGAGGGCTTTAGCTACAAATTCTCCTAACTTGGGGTATTACAAATCATCAACAATGACAGTTACAGAAAGGTTATTATATTTGTACTTGATAACAAAATATAAAGTATAATTTCACTTATCTTTTTTATATAAACACAAATACTTTGGAAAGCAGTGCCTGCCAGCTCCCATCTTTACAGCTACACCTGCTGACTTGACTCAGATAAGCAAGAAAAGCCTTGGTTAGCACGTGCTTTCCAAATCTCATTCCCAGGAAAAATTACACCAGCTTAATAATGTTCACACTTACTTTGTCCTACTTACTACTGCAATTTTATTACGTGATAAGGTTTTTTTTTAGAACAGAATCATCAGTGTGCATGATTTTAAGTGCTTTGTGGTTCTATTATAATCTTAAACAGTTCAAAAATTCAATTCTATCCACATCATATAACACACAATACCACTTATCTGCTTTAACTGTAGCACTAGTAGACGCCTAGACTGTTAGCTCCCTGTGACAAACCTTCTGCTTCTCCTGTTTGAACACATTGAGTCCCCTGGGGTCACTCTTCGTGTGAAAACTGCCAGGTGTTGCAACTGTGTTGTTGATGCTGCTCCCTGAGGTGACAGTCGAAACAATCCCTGGTGGAGTTATGCCCTGAGATGGCATGGGAAACACATTCTCAGATTCAATCAAATTCTGCCTTCTCCTGTATGATACTGGGAATGACTGACAGACAGTATTAGGCTCTACAACATTCATATTTTACTCTATAAAAATGTGTTACACATAAGAAACAATATGAACAAATAATAGCTCTGTGAAAGCAAAAAATACAAGTTTCTGAACTAGCTTTTTATATTATTTCTCAAATAAAATTAGCTATGATCTATTTGTATTATGATCAGTTAACTACATACACTATGATAGCTTCTTACTGTCCTAAAATTAATAACTTCGAATAACTCTGACTTTGTGGTTCTTAACATTTGTTTTTTCTGGGTTTTTTTTTTTTTTTTTTTTTTTACTAATTTATACTTGTCAATGTGAAAAACAAAAGAGCACTTCCATGTTTTCTTACCTTTGATACCACTTAACTTGAACATTTTTTCCCTTTGAAGTTCAAAAATGCAATGATATGCAAACCTCTTTTTGTACTCAGAAACTCGACAGACAGACAGACAGACAGACACAGACAGACACACACACACACACACACACACCCCAGAACAATGAACCTGGAGTTAACAACTCCACAGCTCTATAACTCTTCAATTTCCTTTGGTACAGACAAAAATAATATTCTATAAAAAGGCTGGAATAGACTCTGAAATAATACTTACTGGTATCAAATATGTTTTCTGTCTTAGAAAACAAAATATATTTTTAACCATAAAATGCCTTTCTATATATGACCCTTGAAATTTTATTGTTCTGAAGTCTTCATTAAAACAAATCTGTTATTTTTTTTCTAGAAAATGTCATCATAAGCTAATAAAAGCATAAATAAAATTAAATACTAAAGAAATCCGGAAATTGCCAAGTGAAGTTAAGACCACAAAAATTTTTTTTAAATTCTTGGACACAAAACACTACACAGGTTATAAATATTTCACATTAAATCCTGGGGGAAAATTACCACTAATTCGACATTAGGCACTACATGATATAAAACTGTCAAAAATTAGGTGAAGTTCATGGTTCCAAGAACCCCGTTCTACAGAACAGTCCACACCCAAGTATCCCCTGCCTCCCTCCAGTTGTCCACACCCAGGAGCGTGCTGAACTCCAGTGCTAGCACTGGCCACCTCGGCCCCTGGTGAACTATAACACACCCAGTCACATACCTGCCATTCCCTAGCACCAGGTACCATGCCCCCAAGGGTACTTGAGGATAGTAGTAATGTATACCTGTTGTCCAGAGAAAGTTACAATCCTAACTCATTTTATTCTAAAACAAAAGTGCTCTTGGGTCTCCTTGGCCTTCCTATCTATGATCCTAATTAGCCATTTCCCAAAAAGAAACTCACACTGTAATGATGGATGGTTCAAATAAAAGCTATTTTGTCACACATAATTTCTTACAGTGTTAAAATGAAAACACAGATCCAACCACTCCACTTCTAAGGCTGGCTCCTTTCATACCTTACAAGATGATCACAAAAGTTCAATCATTTTCTTATTTAAATATTCAATGTCCTAAAATCTCTGGAGAAATAAAACACAACTCTTCCCATTGTTTTCAGAGTGTGTAAATGCCCAAGAACTCTCAGCACACCTAAAAAGATCATGACTCTCAAAACAGTGTGTCATACTTTCATGACCACACTCAAAGGCCTGCAGACTTACTGGGAGGGCAAGAATCTAGTGGGGCAGTAATGTGAAGGAGTGGGACACACTGAACTAAAATCACCTAGACCTGTGCCACGTTTGAGGAAACAAGCATCAACAACTGATCTAGCTACTACTACAAACTATCTGCTCTCCAAAATATCCAAATTCTTGACTATGAAGATCAAATTCTGGTAACAGACTCTTTATAAAGTAAATGACCGAAAAAAGAATTGGTAACAGTGCAAGCTGACACATTAGCTTGACTGTGGCCATCATTTCACAATTGTGCGGCCAGCAATGAACAAGGCTGAATGTGGATCACACATGCCACCAAGACTCATACATCAGGCCACGCTGTCAGCAGCCACCTGCTCAAGCCAAGATGAGCAGTGCTGACATATTTCACACAACAGAAACAGGGCCAGGCGCATCAATCAGTGGCTGAGCCCTTCCTTGCCTAGCACCACACCTGAGTTCCAACCCCAGAAGGGCTAAGTTAACTTACAAAAGAGTCAAAAAAGATCTCAAAAAATTTGCTGTTACAATCATAACTACGAACGAAAAAGCACATTTTGTCCTCTATTCTTTTATTACATTTCCATCAATCTCTCACATTTAGAAATGTATATCCTTCGAGTAAGGGAATGTGATCTTTAATCAAGTTTCCTAAGTCAGAATTCAACTTTGTAGAACATTTTATCAATTTACCCGAAGAAAACTGACTAGACCTCATACTATCCAATAATGCCCAACATTCTTTTCTAAAGATAAATTTCATACTAAACCTAGGCTAAACATATACAGAAAGAAGATATTAAGTAATCCTATCTATGACAGCTAGAAAGAAATCAATAATGTCAAATACAACTTCTTAAGAAGTTTAATCAACTTCACATATTGGCAATTATGAACTAGAAGTTATCAACACAGTCTAACTACACATAACGTAACATGGAGGAAATGTTTTCCATGTAATTTTATAGATAAAACAAGTCTCATTTTTATTCGTCATTATGAACAAGTAAACAAGAGCTTTCTCATAAACACAGTCTGTCATGAAGACTTCAGATTTGGTGCTTCAGTTTCACATTTTCCATAAAGGACAAGATGACTTGATGACTTGACAGAAAGTCCTACCATCATCCAACATACAAAACTGGCTTGTGCCAGGCTATCGTGAACACACATACATTTCTGGCAGAATCTGAAGGTCAGCAGCACAACAAGAATGAGTTTAAGTAGCAATAATATATTCAAAGGGCATTTTTCTGAACACTGGATAATCCAAAAGTTACTTATGTTATATTAAATTGTTAAATGCTGGTCTGCATATATTTACTTACTGCAGACCCTCTCAGAGCCTATATTACTCAAATACACAACATGATCCCTTCTGGTAGCCATGGTCTTTGAAGTACTTTTTCAAACTCAACTGACCATAAAACTCTGCCAAGTTCATTTTTTGGGGAAAACTGCCATATAAAAACACAGCCGTGGTCTGGGGATGTAGCTCAAGTGGTACAGTACTTGCACAGCACACACAAGGCCCTGAAGTTTGATGCCCACTACTGTCAAAAAGAAAGAAAACAAAAACAAAAAAAAAGGTATATTTAATCCCCTCTTCTTCTTAACATAAACACTCATCAATGAAGGTCATCTCAAGCCTGTATACAATATACACGATTTTCATACATTTTTATTTGATAAATTTGAAAGTGGTGTGTCTCATTTTATGTGAAAAACTTGAAAGTGAATTTCAATAATTGAAGAATGTCCATCAAAAATTAAAAGAGCAAGGCTAACGAGCCATGAGCCATAACCCATATCTACAGTGCTGCTGTATCAAAATACTACCTCAACTGGCTCATACAAATAACTACCCACTCTTCTTAGAATCAGTAATACAATTTTCATATTCTGAATTATTCAAAAATCTTCAAAAACATATCCTAGCCACAAAGTGCAATCATTAAAGAAATGAAAGGACCCACATCATCATATGTGTTGACATGATTTTACCACTAAAACTGCCATGTGAAAGAGTACCTTCAAAAGACAAATGGGTCTCCCTCTCATCTTGGTCAGAAGAATGTTTTGATAAAAATGCCAATAAAATTCAAAATCAATCTCACCCTAGATGTGCCATCTTGCACTGAGAGGGCCTTGAACTCCTTGAAGGAACAGGTGGCTCAGGTCTAGGCCTGGAAAGACCCTGCCATGCTAGACACCAAGAAAGTACCAAAGACTAGCAGTGTCAAAGGGACCAAAGATCAACTTGCAAAACCTACTCCCAACCAATCTGAGAGCCAACAACAACAGAAAGGAATCCAAATCTTCCTCTATTTAAACAGTATAGAAAGTATAAGTGAGGAAGAGGAGGACTGCATCACCACAGGGAGGCTTGCCAATAGACTCACCTTTTTAAACCTGTAACTAAGAGAATTTACTGCCCCTATAAACTCAAATCATTCAATCACCAAATGTTAGATGAGCACTAGTTTCTCACTACAAGAATTCTTAGTACATCAAGTAGGAACAAAACATCACCTTTAAAGAACCTTAAATGAACTAATACAATTTCAACATCACTGATGTTTTAGGCAAATCCTTGTCACCTTTAAAGAACCTTAAATGAACTAATACAAAACATTACTGATGTTTTGGGCAAATCCTTGTCACAGCAGCTATCCAGTGCACTGTATGAAACTGAGCAGCATCTACACAGATGCATGCAGCAAGACTCCCCACCTACCAGTGTTGGCATGCTGCCTGCGCTGGGGGGATGCTGGATAAGAACCACTCTCACCAGAGGGAGAGGCTGTGGTGCTGTGCCTCCTAGCGAGAACAGTGCCTCCTAGCGAGAACAGCGCCTTCAGGTCCTGCCCAGTCCTACCCTCAGCATAACAAAGCTGGATTTCATCAGGCACCAGACCCAAGTTCCAATTACTGGAAATGCCAAGGACAGACAAAGTCAAATGAGGCTATGAGGATGCATCAGCAAAAACCAAAAGTGGGGAAAAGTCTAGGCAATCAAGTTCCCTTATTAGAAAAAGGGAGGGATCTCAAGATGACAAGACGTAAGACACACCTCATCCATAATACCATTGAGACTTTACATTTACTTCGATTCAAACAAACTACAAAAAATAATCTGGTATGAGAAAAATGTGAATGCTTCCTGGACAGTTTGATATTCATGAAACAAATTTTAAAGGCATAATAATGGTCTTCATGTTAAAACACTTTTATCCTTATAAAAACTCTTTTGAAAAATATGCATTAAAATAGTTACAGATGAAATTATGATGTGCCTTAGAACCAATCAAGTGATGGGAAGTAGTAGGGTTTAATTAAATAAGATCAAGCACGAATAAGTAATTATTTGAGATGATAACAGGTTCACAGGGGCTCGCTGTAGTAAATCCTGCCTGCTTTTCTAGGTGTTTTTCTAACTAGGAGTTTTTCAAAACAGCTATACATTCACAGACTACTGGTTTGATTTTGATCTTCCTGAACACTCTACCAACTCAGACCTCAATAATCTATTTTCCTCATACTCATCAATAAGCAACAAAAAATTATTTACTAAAGAATAAAATCATGGGCTGAGGTCGTGGCTCAGTGGTACAGCGCTTCCCTAATATCTGTGGCACTGGGTTCAAGTCTCAGCACCACATATAAATAAAGGTCCATCAACAACTAAAGGAATGCTTTAAAAAAAATAAATAAATAAAATCACATCGATTTTGACCAAAAACAAAAGTGGGAAAAGGGAAAGGCCAAACCCTGCATAAATATGTATCCATATAAATTAAATTCTTTATCCCAAGACTGCCAAAATGTAGCTGCCAAAAAGCAGCTTATATCCATTCCCTAAATATACTTATATATGTATGCATCTCATTCTAAAAGAGAACTAGACATGGTTTAAGTGGCCAAAACTTAGAATTAAATAAGTTGTCCCCATTCTGCACCTTGGACCAAAGAGGTGAGTATTTCTTTCTTTCTTGGATGAGCAATAGGTTATGAAAAAAGCATATCACCTTATTTGAACTTAAAAAAGCACTAAGTTTCATTAAGTGGACTAGCCATAGCACATATACCCTAAAGGTCAAAAACAGAAGCCAAAAAAAAAAAAAACAAAGAATCTAACAAAGGTCAATAAGGTCCAATTTTCTTACACTTAACTACTTACCAACTTGTCGTTTTCACTCGGCATTTCAAAAACACATCTCAATTTAGAATCCATTAATTCATCGGGTTTTGCCTCTTTCCACTGAAAACAAACAAAACCAGACATGAGACAAAAGAGCTCAGGGCTCAGCAGACAGGTGCTACCTAAGGGACAACTAAAGAACCAATAAGGCTGCCTAGAGTGCCGAAGAGTATACGCGTCTCTGCAGAGAAGACAGCAACACTGCTGCATAATAACGTACCCGCCAACCTCACGGAACTCTTAGGTGATCCCAGGCCTACTATCACTGTCAGGTAAAAATCACACTGGCACCACCAGCAATTATAGGCTAAGAAATATTACTTCGAAATTCTTCCCTGAGACTAACCAGGATTTTCTATAACAGACAGACTTACACGTTTACTATTTTAAAAATCAGGTTTCCCTGTTGACAGCTACACAAAACCTACAATATAAAACTACATTCGCCAAAATAAATTCTGTTGAACTTCTTTTAGACTTACCACAGCTTCCATATCTGAAGTGTTTGGTGGAGCAAAAATCGTCTGCACCATGAACTTATGTTTACTCTTTTCATTGGGATCATAGTCAAAGGGCTGCAGCATCACTGAAGAAAAAAGGACACATTACTCTGCCTTCTGCCTTGGCCTGTTCACCACTCCCCCCACAGTGCCTCAGCAAGAGGCCAAGGTGCAAGAGACGGGCCAAGAGCCCTCCTGCTACACTGTTTACACTTGGCATCTAGAAGCTACTGTATGGATTCCAATTATATTTAAACTGTCCGCTTTTCTGATTTGCTAATTCTTTGATAACCTGCAAATTAACAAATAACAATGACTTACGACTGACCCCTCTATACTGAAGTTTGTGATATTTTCAAAACTTTGCTAACATCAACTGCTATTATGTTTGTAAGATATATTAAACCTAGTAATTGTTTATCAGAACTACTTATGATTTAGGCTTCATTTCAGTATTCGGTAATTATCTCAACTGGGATAGTTGTCCAACTTGAGATACGGGAGAAATACTCAGTGACTTTAAAACTCACCTTCATATGTTGTTTTAACATAACTAATATTTCTAAAATGGATTTTAAATACACAGTTACTCAAGAAAGAAGCTACCTATTTGTTTAAATCTGATTCTAAGAAAACGAGGTACAAAAGAAAATCAGAAGCTCTTGAAGTATAGAACTTATTCTGGAGTCCCAACAAATAATATTCTCATTTTCTTTAAGTACTTATGATTATCTATAGGCTATAGGGTGCTCAGAGGTTCCAAGTGGTTTTAAGTCATGCCAAACTTATAAATCCAATATAATAAATCACAAATAATAAACAAGGGCTGGGGGTGTAGCTCAATGGGAGAGAGCACTTGCCTAGCATGCATAAGGTCCTGGGATCAATCCCCAGAACTGGAATAAAAAAAAAAGAAGAAATCAACAATTATAAAAATATATGTGTAGGGAATTATGTAAATTTTTTCCCTACTAATCCTTAGATTATTTCTAAAATCTACAGCTGTTATCTTCAAAAAGACAAATGGAAGAAATATCTATTATATAAGACAAATTTATCTATAAAGTATGTCTGTGAAGCCCATTAACTCCCTTCATGGTTCAGATTCTTTTTAAGGGCCAAATCCATAGCAGCAGAAAATGCACCAGATAGATGCCTCAGTTTACACCAGTACTTCACCAACCAATCACTAGCAACCACAAGTCCACAGATACAAAGAAAATGTAAAACTTGGTATAACTTTACAATGTACACTCTTTAAAAAAAAAAAGTGCAGACCACATGATAAAAAGAAATCAATCTCAAAAATACACGTAAGTGTGTACAGATCAGAAGAGCAAATCCACAAAACTATGTGTAACAGGGACAGAAAGGGGAAAAAGAAATGAACATGTGGCATAAGGTGTGCAGGTGGCTGCCAGAGGAAGCAGAGGTATGAGGGACTGGTGGAAAGACTCCACACTCAGCCCTAGAAAAGCCTAACTGCTAGCTGGAGGGAAGGAATCAGAAACCAGTGCAGCCATGACTAGTTTAGAGCTTTTCACAATCCAGGTATGAAGAAAATACTCTGGAAGTAGTATCAACTAAATGTTTCTCTCATAAAGAAACATTAATATAGTAAGACTTCAGCAATATGAAACCCTCAAAGCAATAGTATTAGGGATACATAATGATTCGCTGCACCAAAGAACCATTTTTAACCACATGGACTGAAATAATTCCTCCTTCTCCCAATGCAGTTGACAGCTTACAGATGTTGACAGCAATGTGCAGAACACGTGTGTTCCTCTTCCATATTCCCCATACACTTTCCAAAGAGCTCTGGGTTTGCCTGAGCAAGCACAGCTGAAAGCACTTCTCCCAGGCCACCTCAACCCAGGGGCAAGGAACATCAGCTGCAGAGCCTCCTCCAGGTTGTGCCTTGAGGGTCTGGTATCACCAAGACTGCCCATAATTGCTTTGCAGTAAGGTTCTACTTCTAAAAGGGAATTAGTGGGTCTGCTCCAGGCTCTCATTCTTGGTATAACTTGCTATTTTTAATCTGCTGTGGACTTAAAAATTAGAAAATCGATAGAGAATTCCCAGCATCTTAGGAATACTCATAAGGATTTACACACCTCTAGGCTTTATATAACCCTGGAGGTGCTCATGTGGGAGAGGGTAAAAATCCACCGGCCATCACCAACACAGTGGGGACTGAGCACTGCTACACAAGAAAAAGTAGAGGACGATCTCGGATCGTGTGAGGCCTAAGGGGCTCCCCACCAGGAAGACATGATTCTCCGTTTCCCAGCTGCCTAGAAGGCAGTCAAGGAGCACAACCTTGGGAAGAAAAGAAACAATCCACAGAGGTGTTAACCACAGCACCAGTACATACTCCACAGCAGGAGGAAGGGGCCTCTATCTGGGGAGAACCAAGTACACTTTGAAACAGTAAAAAAGGGTAATAAAAATAAAATTTCTAAGACATTGTTAATACAATATCAGGTGTAAAGACTCATGTCACTGAATACAACAAGGCAAAAAAGAGGCACTGCACAATTTTAAGCAAAAGAATTAGAACACTTCCACAGCTGCTCATAATGTGTACTATGTAGTGATCTAGTTACCAAAACGGTGTCATTTTTCAAAGACAAAACAAGGGCAGCAATGCAGTGGTGAGGTACAGGAATAGAGACCAGACACCAAATTTTAAACTGGCAATAATGACAAGTTAGCCTCACACCCCCGCACACACAAGGTGAGAAGTTTTCTGTGGCAGTCTGCATACAGAAAGGTAACAAACATCTTTAAAAACTGTGTCCGTCCCTCCAGATCAAACACCATTAGATAAAGCAAATTTGACACAATCATAAAATGTCAACATTCACAACTGCCTTGACTTCAGGATGAGATTCCCACCTGAAACAGTCACAGTGGACCCTGGGTCAATGATCCCACTGTTGGGCCGCACACAGTACCGCCGAGGTGCCGTAGTCTTCACTTTGAAACACACCTTCCTATCCGACGGATTTCGGAGTTTAAGATTCGTAGTGACTACATCTGTGAAGGGGCCTGTGAGGATTAGAGGGGGAAATAATTTGTTGAATTCACAACAAAAGCAATATCCAAAACTTAATAAATATAACCTAGTTTATGAATTAATGTCTGTACACATATAAATGTTACCAAATGCCAAGAGCAGCTTTCTCCAGGTGTTTTATCTTATTCTCAAGATAAAACAGATCTTACAAATCTGTTTTCTTCATTTCTTAGCACTACTTACAAACCTACAGTGAACATAAATTATTTCTATTTTTTGAAAGTCTTTTGGAAGCTTCAATCTATGAAATAAGCCCACAACTGCATAGTTATAATATGTCCTTACCACATTAATGAAAACATCAGGGCAGGCATGGTGGTGCATGCCTGTAATCCCAGCAGCTCAGGAGGCTGAGGCAGGAGGATCACAGTTCAAAGCCAGCCTCAGCAAAAAGCAAGGCACTAAGCAACTCAGTGAGACTCTTGTCTCTAAATAAAATACAAAATAGGGCTAGGGGTGTGGTTCAGCAGTCAGGTGCCCCAGAGTTCAATCCCCAGTACAAAAAAAAGAAAGAAAGAAAGAAAGAAAATATCAGAATTTCCCCATGGTCCTCAAACCAGTGCCAATCTTTCAAATTTACTTTAGTAGGCGCCCACTGCAAAACTCTACATCTGAAGGCCCCACTCCACCTCCAACAACGTTCTTGCTTCTCCTCCTCAACCCCGACCCAGCCCTGTCTGAGTAAAATCAGCACACCCACCTCCAAGGGAGGTAAGGTGGAAAGATTATAGATACTGTGCTCTTAAAGAAAAGTCAAAGGCATTGTTCGGATTAATTTAGACAGCAAAATTAATTACTTGTTAATTTGGGATCAGAAGATCAGCCTAAAAAACTGTTCCAATGGGAAGCAATAACTTCACACTCTAAACTGTGAAAACACAATCGGGAATGATTTTAGTAAGAATCAGTTAGTTATAAGTGATGTTTTAAAAAGAGAGGCAGGTAGTTCAGTGGCAGAGCCTGCCAAGCAAGAGGCCCTGGATCCCCAGAACCAAGAAAAAACAAACAAAAAAAGATTAGAAAGGGCTGGGGCTGGGTCTTAGCAGCAGAGCACTCGCCTACCATGCGTGAGGCACTGGGTTCGATCCTCAGCACCACATAAAAATAAAATAAAGATATTGTGCCCACCTATAACTAAAAAATAAATATTTTTTTAAAAAGGTTAGAAGGTTAAAACAAAAGAAAACTACTGTAAGGGTTACCTTTTCTTCATTTAAATCATGAACAAAAATAAGCATTTTATAACCAATTTAAAATATTCATATTATGGAACTTCCAATTGAGAAAATTCTCCAACTATGCCATTTTGTTAATGCTAGAAAATTATCTAAGACAAAGACTTAAAGGGAGACAAGAAATGGCTTCAGGAAGATGTGAACACTAGCTGCCCAATGGAACAGGAGATAAAGCCGACTTCAAGTATGAAGTTCACATTTTAAGGAAAGTCATTTTAAGTAAAGAAGTCAGTGATTTCATTCGCTGCTTAGTCTGTGGGTTAAAAAATATTTTCTAAGAAATAAAGATCTGGAATTGGGATGAGAGGCAAGAGATAGAAATGAGAAGAAAATGTAAAAGGCAGAGAACTATTTGAGAAAAGCATTTTTATGTAAAATCCATCTGATAGAACAGGTCGGCTTGTTTGGGGAGACATACATACATACACATTCATACACACACTATACATATGAAGTTCGATCTTTGAACTGCTGGCTGAATTACATGGTGAAGGTGATCGTCCAGTCTGTAGTCCCCTCTCACCCCTGCGCCGTTTCTCAGTTGTTGGCATTTTTTGAAAAGCAAATGTTAACAGCTCTACTCTACAACTGGTATAAGAATAAAGAAGAAAATTCCCATCTGTCCATTTTAATCACATGAATCCACAAAAACATCTTGAAACTTATAGAACAAGGTCTCAAATTCCATTTCTTAACATTCTCAAAGCCCTTAAGTCACTACAGATAATCAAGAATATAAAAATTTTGTAGCACTATTTTGACTAGGACTCTAACATTAACAGCAAACACAGACAGGATTTTTAAAAAGCCTAAGTTCTTAGTAAAAGGATAAAAAAAATCATTTCAAAAAATTTTAATTCTGAACAATCCTAGATTTTATAATTGCAAGTTGAATATATAATAATTATCCAAAATAAGACAGGTAATTTTTAAAAAACCACCATGTTATTTTTCATCAAATCCCTAAGAATTAGATATATTCTTCAGTAGTCTTTAAATGCTATGATATTGGTGGAAAAGATGGTGGGATGAGATGGACATCATTATCCAAAGTACATGTATAAAGACATGAATGGTGTGAATATACTTTGCGTACCACCAGAGATATGAAAAAATTGTGCCCTATAGGTATAATATGAATTGTAATGCATTCTACTGTCATATATAACAAACTGGAATAAAAATAAATAATTTTTTAAAAAGCTATGATATTGTCTATTAGTGATTATAAATCTCCAGGGATTATAGATTCTGGTCTTTCTAGACAAAAAATAAAAATAAAAAAAGCTAACATGCCTATGTTGGTGCCAATACCATGCCATTTTTGTTACTTTAGCTTTATAGTATAATTTAAGGTCTGGCATTGTGATGCTTCCTGCTTCACTCTTCTTGCTAAGGACTGCTTTGACTATTCTGGGTCTCTTATTTTTCCACATGAATTTCGTGATTGCTTTTTCTATTTTTATAAGGAATGACGTTGGGATTTTAATGGGAATCATGTTGAAGCTGTACAGCACTTTGGATAGTATGGCCATTTTGACAATATTAACTCTGCCTATCCAAGAGTATGTGAGATCTTTCCATCTTCTAAGGTCTTCTTCAATGTCATTTACTGTTCTGTAGTTTTCATAGAAGACAGAGACAAACCCACATAAATACTGTTAACTCAGACTACACAAAGGTGCCAAAAACATACACTGGAGAAAAGATAGCCTCTTCAACAAATGGTGCTGGGAAAACTGGAAAGCCATATGCAGCAAAATGAAACTGAACCCCTATCTTTCATAAATATGCACAAAACTCAATTCAAAGTGGATCAAGGACCTAAGAATTAGACCAGAGGAGACCCTGCACCTAACAGAGGAAAAAAATAGGCTCAAATCTCCATCACGTGGGATTAAGCCCCGAGTTCCTTAACAAGACTCCTAAAAAACAAGAAATAAAATCAAGAATCAATAAATGGGATGGATTAAAACTAAAAATCTTTCTCTTAGCAAAAGAAACAAAGAGGTGAAGAGAGCGCCTACATTTTGGGAGCAAATTTCTACCACATGCACATCAGAGCACTAATCTCCAGGATATATAAAGAATTCAAAAAACGTAACACCAGAAAAACAACCCAATTAATAAATTGGCGAAGGTGCTGAACAGTCACTTCTCAAAAGATGATCAATCAAACAAATATATGAAAAACTGTTCAACATCTCTATCAATTAGGGAAATGCAAACAAAACTACACTAAGATTTCATCTCACACCAGTCAGAATGGCAGTCAACAAGAACACAAACGACAACAATAAGTTTTGGCGAGGATGTGGGGGGAAAGGCACACTCATACACTGCTGGTGGGACTGCAAATTATTATTATTATTATTATTATTGCAAACAATCTGGAAAAAGCAGTATGGAGAGTCCTTAGAAAACTTGGAATGGAACCACCATTTGACCCAGCTATCCCACTCTTCAGTCTATACCCAACAGTGTTAAAAACAGCATACTATAGAAACGCAGCCACATCAATGTTTACAGCAGCTCAACTCACAAGAGCTTCACTGTGCAAGCAACCTAGATGCCCCTCAATAGATGAATGGATAAAGAAACTGAGGTACACATACGAAATGAATATTACTCAGAATTAAAAAAACAATAAAATTATGGCATTTGCAGGTAAACGGATGGAGTTGGAGAATATCATGCTAAATGAAGTAAGAGCCAATCCCAAAAAAAACGAAAGGCTGAATGTTCTCTCTGATAAGTGGATGCTGATCCATAAGGAGATGGGAGGCAGAAGAAAAACAGAGGAACTGTGATTGGGCAAAAGGGTGGGGAGGGGGTATGGGGTCAGGAAAGATGGTGGAATGAGATGGACATCATTACCCTAGGTACACTTGACTACACATATGGTGCAACACTACATCGCGTACAACCAGAGAAATGAAAAGTTGTGCTGCAATTATGCACAATGAATCAAAATGCATTCTGCTGTCATATATACCTAATTGGAATAAATTTTTAAAAATTAAAATTAAAAACAAGTTACTGTGGCAAGAGAAAAAACTCTCCCCAATTTAAAATGAAATCCTTAACTAGACATGTTAACCTTATGATTCAAATGTAAAATTATCTAATAAAGCCACTTAACAAGTAAATTTGAGATTTTCTCTGCACTATCTTCCTTTAAGCAAGCCTCTCCAAGAGTGTCGCTCCCAGGAGACAGCTCACAGTCTGAGCCCATTTTCCTGGTTAAATAGAAAATCAGTCTTGACCACCAGGAATATAATAACCACCAGGTCTCAGAGCTTAAAAAACAGGTCTGGTGCTTCTGTGAGACGCAGAGCCCTTGAAAATCATGAAAGCTGCTTCCTACCACAGGCAAACACACTCAGCACATATCCACTAAAGCTGGACACTGAATTCTGTGGGTAGCTAGAGTAAGAGAAGGTTAAAGGGGTCAGCTGTGTCACCCCTACCCCCGTGAAGCCGGTGAAACAGACTTGGTGAAATCTACCTATATGGAGCTTCAGCAATGAGAAGTCCATGACTTACTGAAGTGCTACAAACAGATCCATTCACATACCACTGCACTAAAAGGTGTTTTGTTTGGCATTATGACTGGGGGGTACAGCAGGGCAGGTGGAAGACCTCAGCATGACGGAGACTCTGCCATGGCCAGGCAGGCAAACACAATACCATGTCCACATCCCATGAAATGTTCAAACACTCTTCCTGCTGGAGTT